TGGCCACAGTGTCAATGGTCAGATGGGGGTTGAGTGGCCACAGTGTCAATGGTCAGATGGGGGTTGAGTGGCCACAGTGTCAGTGGTCAGATGGGGGTTGGGTGATAATCTATCGAGGCAAAAACATAATACAGAAGTACATGTTATTTACTGATTATGGTAGCTAGAGACATAGCCCTTTAACATTGTACTTCACTGGGGCATGTGCTTTCACAAACTGAAATTGATTGGAAGTTATCTCATCAATATGAATTGCCCTGTTTGTAAGTTGGAAGAAGGGGGCATTCCTATTTAGGTCTTGTTTTCTTTGACAACAAGTAATGTCATTCGAAGGGACATTCATTTAGGTTCTACATTATGTTAGGTAGAAGGAAGGTTCTTTAATCTGGTGTTAGGTTGTAGCTGTTTTGGCATGCATTTCACCAAACTAAAGACAATGAGACTTGAAATGGTATTTACTGATTTCTTGGACCTTCTAAAATGGCAGTGAAGGGACTTTTGTTTTCAAGAGTACTTGCAAACCATTTTCTACATTTCTTTAACCAGTTGTGAGGTGAGGTGAAATTGGGTTTAACGTCGCGTCCAAGATTATTGCACTTATATAGCGACGTGCATGCCTGTTGGTGTGTGTGTGTGGCTGCTTGTACCAGTCCGGACTGATGCCGATTTATAGTGCTAGCACACTGAGATACCATGCCGCAGTTTAACATGAATACCCCACTCAGACACAGTATACTGACTCTGAGCCGACCAGTCCTTGTTTTAGCCCCTTAATGCTGAGCGCCAGACAGGGTAACAACAAGTACCATCTTTTGACGTCTTTTGGTTCGAACCCCAAACCTTAACCAGCTGTTAGCCTTTTCTGTATACTGCAGCTGCCTCCAGGCACAGTGGAATGGAAAATACCTCCCCAAAAGAATAGGATTGACCTGTTTGATAAACTCTTCATTAATATAACTGTGGGTCCTGTCCTTGCGATCTAGGGCACCTCACTTCACTGTATTATGTTGCACAACTTGTGCCAGGAGACCTCTGGGCAGTCAAATACACATTTATCCCAATTGTGACTATTTAATCATCGTCAGAATGAGATGATCTGGCATGGGGATCTTCAGACAAATGTACCTGCGTAGCTCTACAGCAGGATGATGCATCATATTGGGATGGGAAACTCCATCAATCAGAGACTGTCCAAATATTTATTTCCATTTGATTCTTTGTAAGTGCAGTCACTTTCTGATGTTGCTGGTGCATTTGTTTCTGAGAGGATGTTTACTCAAGACGTTACTGGAGTAGACCCTAACGTCTTCGCAGGTCAGCTGCACAGGACGTGACATTCTTCAGTCTAACGTGTACGTTCCCCAAATACTAAAAGAAGCTTGTTGAGACCTCTTAAACCTTCTCAAATATTTATGTTTCTTAAATGTCTCTTCGAATATCACAAGTTTGGTTGATGGAGAAGTAAAGTCAAGCCTTTACTTATTTCAAACAATTTCTGTGCATGATTTTTTTATGACTTCCAGACAATTTTGTTTGATAAATAGAAGTCTAATGAACTTATCAACAAGGGCCATTTGTTCCCTGCCATTTTATAGAGGAAAACATTTGTCCTCATTGCAGTGAGGAAAGCTTTTGTTCTCATTGCACAAAGCAATCTTTGAAGCCAGTAGTTGTCATTTATCAATTCCTGCCCTCGAACTTGCCAACAGTAATGTAGCAGCACTGAGGTACCTTTGTCACTTTGATTTGTACTTTGGACATCAGTCAAACCTGAACTACAAATCTGAAAGGTATCGACCCCCAGGATTCTGGGTTAGAAATTGTCCCCAGAAACCTTACTTGTTGTACGAGAAATCATTAATGATGTGACGGGCTCGACTTGGTTGTTAGCTTGTAACATGCTCCAACACTGTGAGTCTGTTCATAATATCAACTCAATTGTCTGGTCCTGATTATTCACAGGCTGCCATTATATTGCTGTTCTATTGCTGTGTGCTCCGTTAAACAACAAATAATTATTATTTTTAATGTTATTGCAACAAACAATTTGTCTTTGGTTGCCCAGCTTGTGGTTTAAAACGTCATTTGTTTATAACAGGTATGGGACCGCCTTTGTCGTCTAGTGGATGAGTGTCTGCCCGGAGTGTGGAAGGTCGGGGGTTCGATCCCTGGCCTCGTCATACCAAAAGACGTTTATAGATCGTACTTGTTGTTACCCTGCCTGGCACTTGGGATTAAGGGGCAAAAACTAGGACTGGTCAGCTTAGAGTCGGTATGCTGTTGGGTATTATGTTTAACCTGCGGCATGGTATATCAGTGGGCTAGCACTATAAAATCGAGTCGGGACTATAGTACAAGCGCGCGCGCACATCGCTATATATAAGTGCAATAATCCCCATTTTTCCTCACCATTGAGTTGTGTCTCATGTTTGTCCAAGCATCTTCTGATAATTGGTTTGAATTTGCAATTTATCTGGATTATTATCACGGAACAGGAACCATGTAGGAAGGGAGTTCGTCCGTCTGTCTGTTCGTCAACTTCTCAAAGGGGACAGATTTTCTCAAAAACTAGTTCGATATTACTGGTCATGATCTTAAATTTGTTTGAAAATTGGTGTCTTAAATTCATTTTTTACAGAGTTATGACTCTTGCTCCATGCAACTTAGTGCATACTGCGTGAAATTGGGACAAGTTTTCTCAGAAACTACTTAAGTTACCGGTATATGAATGACAGTTTGCATGCTTATCTAAGAGATACTTGTCAAGACTAAGTTTGAAAATTGGTGCCGTCATTTCTTTATTACAGAGTTGTTGCCCTTGCTCCATGCTTTTCAACTTAAAGTGCATCGTTTCATTGCAGTGGGAACAATTTTTCTAAGAAACTACTGACGTTATATAAATGAAACTTTATTAATTTAACTGAGAGAAACTTGTCAAGATGAGTTCGAAAATTGGTCCCGTAAATAATTACTTTCGAGAGTAAATTCCCTTGCAACATGTCTTTAGATTTTGAGCATACACAGTTACAGCCTTATCAGTGTTATTTTCCAAAGTGCATACTGTCTGCAATGGGGACATGTTTTCTTAGAAACAACTCAGGTTAGCTTATCTAAGAGGTACTTATAAAGACTGTGATCAAGGATTGGTGCCATAAATTATTTTTTCCAGGGAGGGAACTTTTTGACTGTGTTGTAATTTCACATTTAATAATTCTTTCTGATGACATAAAGCGACCCTAGTGCCTATCTCTTCTTAAGGCTTTATAGATCTCTCTTTTTATAGTTTATATTCACTACTTCATGAACACACAGAATTCTTATGTGCCCCATGACAGGGGATAGTGATAACGATGTTTTCTTGTTAATCTTGGGTCTGTCAGCTTGTAAATTTACAATCTGCATCCCTTTTGACTGTTCTCCCATGTTAATCTATCATGCCATTATTCCTGTGAAATACTGTAGTAGCCTAACCCATCAGCTTATTCCTTCAAGGTACTTTGTTCAGATGAGTATTGCCAGTTACAGCTCATTGCAGTGTATCAGCCAAACACATTGGCATTGTGGCTATTAGCTTCAGTAGACCTAACTTTGGTGAATGAGGGTTTTATAAATGTAAAACTCAAAGGACCCAGATCAGTGTAGGACTCAGATGCATGATGGGACTGAGATCTCCTTGGTCGGCCTGAGATCAGTGTAGGACTAAAATCTCCTCGGTCGGCCTGTGATCAGTGTAGGACTGAGATCTCCTTGGTCGGCCTGTGATCAGTGTAGGACTAAAATCTCCTTGGTCGGCCTGTGATCAGTGTAGGACTGAGATCTCCTTGGTCGGCCTGTGATCAGTGTAGGACTAAAATCTCCTCGGTCAGCCTGTGATCAGTGTAGGACTCCCTGCTTTGTAGGTTTCACCCAGCTGGTGAACATATATGACCTACAATACTTTGGGCTTCGTTCCACATCAAGCTGACACATCATGCAAGAACTGAAATGCTGTTCCCAGCATTAAACCCAACTCACTCACTCTTCCCACATCGAGCTGACACATCATGCAGGAACTGAAATGCTGTTCCCAGCATTAAACCCAACTCACTCACTCTTCCCACATCATGCAAGAACTGAAATGCTGTTCCCATCATTAAACTCATCTCACTCACTCTTCCCACATCAAGCTGTCACATCATGCAAATACTGTTTCCAGCAGTGTCTGAAACTCAGCAGACTAAACTTAGAGCCTTAAGGGCCAGCACATTTAAGAAACTGTAGGCCCGTGGAAAAACTGTAGGCCCAGTGGAAAAACTGTAGGCCCAGTGGAAAAACTGTAGGCCAAACATTTTAGCTGAAGCAGGGAGACATACTCTTGCAATAGAAATGACAACTCACAACCAGTCAACCAGAAGCTTTTACTGCTAACACGCTGAGTTCCCAGAGATTTGGCGGTGCTAGATGAAGCCGACATTTATCTGGAAATTTTCAGCTTGTAAAACATCTTTGCAAGTACATGTCATCTACCATTTGAAAGGTCTAGTCCTATTGTTTGTAAATATGACTAATATTTATCACATTACTTAAAAAATGCTAAATAAATAATTACTTAAATAAACTGTTGGCCGTAAGGGCCTGCTGAAATTTAAATCTATCAGCCTGGGAACTAATCTGTCGGCCTCGGGCCTACAGGCTGATGTCTGTTTTGAACACTGGTTTCTAGCATTAAACCCAACTCACTCACTCTTCCCACATCAAGCAAACACCTGTTCAGATGGTGAAATATTGCTCAAAGCAGCATTGAACCCAACTCAACCTGCAATCAACCTCCAACTAATGATACTAAAAGTGATGTTGAATCCAAAACATACGCTTTAGAAGCCATGAGCTCTTAAACAGTTTTTCAAATTCAAAGGAGAATTACTGTTTGAAACAAAAAAAATAAGATGATTTTGTCTAGGAAAAACTTCCACTTTGTTGCTGTGCATTGAATATGAAGTAATGAAGTGAAGTTTACTCACGTTTGTATCCCACTGGTGACTTAGCCAGCAGAAGGCCGGGAGTTCAGCTGTTGAATACTGCACTGTCAGATGTGGAAGTGAGATGGACAATACCAACCAGCCACTCCATTGGTGTCTCAGGGGCGAGAATTGCCGTATGTTATTGATTTCATCGTTTTGGGCTTGATTAGGCCATATTTCCAGCTGCCATCGCTGAGATTGTGCAACCCTTATGTCATCTCAGAGAAAATGATATGCTTCTCTTTTGTTTTGGTCCCGATTTCATTCCAGCAAGGCTGTAAATTGTGCGGACATTGCTGAATGACCGTTAGTTAATTAATCAGCCCAGTGTTGGCCTGTCACCCTTGATGTGGATGTAGTCGCTGCATGTGTTGATCCTGTTATGTAAAAGCTCTTACATTCACTTGTCTCACAGAGTATCAGCCTGCTGGGTCATTGGAGAAAGTGGGTACCGGTACATAAGCCATCTACTAGGGGTATTTTCACTATCGACACAGTGTTGCATTATTTAGTAAGACTGTTGTAATGATATTACAATAGTTAAACTACTATTTATACTACTATTTATACTGTGTAACAATAGACTATTGTGATGGTATTACAATAGTTAAACTACTATTTATACTGTGTAAAATATAGACTGTAATAATGATATTACAATAGTTAAACTGCTATTGATATTGTGTTGCTATATTTAGTAAGACTGTTGCGAAGATATTACAGTAGTCAAGCATGGTAGACCATGATATTTTTGACCATGGTACACTATGGTATATTTGGTCATAGTATACCATGGTCAAATTTACCATGCTAATGGTCTGTGGACCAAGTTATACCATGGTGATTCCATCCCATTTCAGCTGGGTGTTTGATAAGTTGTAAGATTAATGAATTTGTAACTATCCTTGTCTAGTGATGTCTTAACCCTGTTATCAGATTGTAATAGGTGAGGTTATCATACTAGTGGGTGAGGTTATCAGTCTACTGGGGTGAGGTTATCAGTCTAGTAGGGTGAGGGTATCAATCTAGCGGGGTGAGGTTATCAATCTAGTTTTGTGAGGTTATCAGTCTAGTGGGGTAAGGTTATCTATCTAGTCAGGGATTAGGTTATCAGTCTGGTGGGATAAGGTTATCTATCTAGTGGGATGAGGTTATCAGTCTACAGGCTGAGGTTGTCTGTCTAGTGGGGTGAGGGTATCAATCTAGTGGGGTGAGGTTATCAGTCTACAGGCTGAGGTTGTCTGTCTAGAGGGTAAGGGTATCTATCTAGTGGGATGAGGTTATCAGTCTACAGGCTGAGGTTGTCTGTCTAGAGGGGTGAGGGTATCAATCTAGTGGGGTGAGGTTATCAGTCTAGAGGGTGAGGTTATCAGTCTAGTAGGGTGAGGTTATCAGTCTACTGGGGTGAGGTTATCAGTCTAGTAGGGTGAGGTTATCAGTCTAGTGGGGTGAGGTTATCAGTCTAGTAGGGTGAGGTTATCAGTCTAGTGGGGTAAGGTAATCTATCTAGTCAGGGATTAGGTTATCAGTCTAGTGGGATAAGGTTATCTATCTAGTATGATGAGGTTATCAGTCTACAGGCTGAGGTTGTCTGTCTAGTGGGGTGAGGTTATCAGTCTAGTAGGGTGAGGTTATCAGTCTAGTAGGGTGAGGTTATCCATCTAGTGGGGTGAGGTTATCAGTCTAGTGGGTGAGGTTATCAGTCTAGTGGGGTGAGGTTATCAGCCTAGTGGGATGGGGTTATCAGTCTAGTGGGGTGAGATTTTCTGTCTAGAGGAGTGAGGTTATCAATCTAGTGGGTGAGGTTATCAGTCTAGTCTAGTGGTATACCATGGTCAAATACACATACACGATGGTCTACCACCAAATTCTGTGGTACCAAAATCACCATGGTGTACCATGGTCCATGACCACTTACCACCAAATTCTGTGGTGCCAATTACCGCAGACATGATATACCATGGCAAATGACCATAAAATATCAGCTGAAAGGACCATGTTATACCATGTTATACCATGATATACCATGATATACCATGGTGAACCATGGTCAAATACACCATGTTATACCATGGTCCATGACCATTTACCCCCAAATTCTGTGGTGCCAATTATCGCAGACATGGTATTCCATAGTCAATGACCATAAAATACATGCTGAAAGGACCATTACAATAACCAATGATTTATTTTTATGACAACTGAGAGCATGGTATACCATGACATGAAAAGAAATCGACCATGGTGAACAATGTTTTATAATATAAATTGACATTGTTATTGACACCATCATAAAGGTCCATAGCAGCCAAATTTGGAGTATCAAGAATCAGTGTGAATGGTGTAATTAGTCTCTAAAAACATCTTGAAGATAACCTGTCCAAAATTACACATGCAAGTAATATTTTTCCCTCAAGCTGTGAAAACACACAAACTCATGCAATGAAAGCAAACTATTTAGAACATGTTGACTGATTACTTACATTGCCATAGATGTAAATGAAGGTAAGTGTTATCCTGAATTATCTCGGCTATTGATACTGATGAATATCTATCTTGTTTTGCATTACAGAAAATTTTCTCTCATCTTTTTTTTTTTTAATAAATAGCAAGCAATAAGCAAGAAAAAACAATTTAGGGGCGGGCAGCACAAACGGTAGTTTCAGATGTGTGCAGATTTTTTTTTCAAGCGTAACTCATTTATTCTTCAATATTTTGTTGTGAATCTCTGCAGTCACATCAATCAAGTGATGAAGTTGTGCCACTTTTCAAAGACATTGTTTTCTTATATTTTTTATTATAAGTCTTTCAATATTATGGATTGCTGATAAATAGAACATCATGCTATTTGTTTGAATTCTTATTGCTTGCCGCAAAGTTACAGTCATATTCCTCGAAATTTGCAGACCAAATGGTGTCCCCAACGAAAACAAAATCACACTTATTCATTTTCACATGTCTCTAAGTGAGGTGTTCAACTCTAGGATTGCTCAATGCACACAAACTTCAAGTACAAGGATATCTGTGATATGTGTAATGAATATTTATGAAAGAAAACATTAATTCCCGGAGAAAAATATTTTTCATCTGCCACTTACATGTTTTAATGCTTCTTTTTTTTTTTCCTTTTATTGTTTTTAGAAAGACACACCTGTTACATAAATGGGCTTCCGCCCAGGGTAGCAGAAAGCCCATGACATAAAGCACAACTTATCAGTACATCTTACTTTGTTGTTTTTTTTATACAGAAAATAACATACTTCTCACTCACACATTCACTCTTGTTTATATATCATATTGCAGTTTAGGAAAGTACATGGTCTCAAACATTAAAATCTTAAGTACAAAACTAAAATTAAATTGAAAGCTGCTCCTCATTTTCGAAAAGTTGATGATACAGCATCCAAGCACCATAGAATTTCTGTTGATTACCTGTCTTGAAAGCAATATCTTTTTCAATGTTGTATCGTGAAAAAGCTTCCTTTTTATAAACATGAAAATAAGGTTTTGTATTTTGGAATTTGCATCTATAAATATAGTATTTTGCAATTAGTAAAAGTAAATCAAACACTTTATCTGTTTTTATGTTCTCTTTAACTCCAAAAAGTATCAATTCTGCACAAAATGTCATATTATAAACATGAAAGCACTGGTCGATCCACAATGACACTTCATCCCAAAATTGTTTTATTACATCACATTCCCAAAACAAGTGAGTAATTGTTTCCTTTTCATTGTGACAGAAGGAGCACAAATCATTCTGAGCATAATTGAGTAAATACAGAAAAGTATTAGGGGTGAGAATTCTGTGGGTAATTTTGTATTGAAACCATCGCAGTTTGACATCCTGTGTTGTACTGAAAATTTTATTATAAATATTGTTCCAATTTAAGTTTTCAAATTGTAATTCCCACTTTTCCTGCCCTTTAGTTTTTACTTCTGTAGAAACCAATGAAAAATAAATATGTTTTGAACCGGACTTGGAACTACAAATAGTTTTTACCACACAGCGCTGATCCTCCACAGAATCTGTTGGAACTCTAACTAAATTTAGAGCTCCAAGGTATTGTTTAACGCTGCTAACAACACCATAAAACTCCAAATAGGATGAACAAATACCATACATATCATTAAATTCCTCATATGACAGAAACTCCTCATTGGCCTTGACCAAGTCTATAATTTGGGAGATGCCCTTCTCAAACCAGCATTTCAAGAAAAATGATTTCCTGTTAATTTTAATATTAGGGTTATAAAAAATTGGGTTTTAATGCTTCTTACCAATGCTGGGGTCACGGGTGGCCCAGTCGTCTGAGGCGCCGCGATTCGCTGTGCAGAGTTGCGTTCCTTGGACATGCCAGAAACCTATGATTGTGGGTTCGAATCCCGGTTCGCCCCGATTATGTTTCTAGGTTTGTCAGCTCCATACCCGTGCTCGTGGGTTTCACCGAAGTGGTAAACGTCCGAGACCTGCATCACTTCGGGCTTTCCTCCCACATTAAGCTGACACGCCGTGATATAACTGGAATAATGTTAAAAGCGGCGTTAAACCCAACTCACTCACTCACTCTTACCAATGCTATTAATAAAATAGAATTACTTTTCATTTGATGTTACCATTATTAGTTATTCAAAAATGAAATTCAAAATTATGAAACAGAAGGTCAATTTTCATTATTTTAATCATATTTTGAAATAAATATGGTCTACCATGGCTATGTCTAAGATGACCATGGTCTACCATGGTTTTGTTAAAGATGACCATGGTCTACCATGGATATGTCTAAGATGACCATGGTCTACCATGGTTTTGTTAAAGATGACCATGGTCTACCATGGATTTGTCTAAGATGACCATGGTAGACCATGGTTTTGTTAAAAATGACCATGGTCTACCATTGATTTGTCTAAAATGACCATGGTCTACCATGGATTTGTCTAAGATGACCATGGTCTACCATTGATTTGTCTAGGATGACCATGGTCTACCATTGATTTGTCTAAGATGACCATGGTCTACCATGGTTTTGTTACAGATGACCATGGTCTACCATGGTTTTGTTACAGATGACCATGGTCTACCATGGTTTTGTTACAGATGACCATGGTCTACCATTGATTTGTCTAAGATGACCATAGTCTACCATGGTTTTGTCTAAGATGACCATGGTCTACCATGGTTTTGTTTAAGATCACAAGGTCTACCATGGATATGTCTAAGATGACCATGGTATACCATGGTAAGTAATGAAAGTGACCACGGTTTAGCATGGTTTAGTATGGTAAACCTTGGTGACCATGGTTAACAATGGTGCACATTTCAG